TTGTATCTTACTTGGATCCACACTTGGTACCAGGAGCCAAGAGATCAGGAGACCTACTGCACTGGGAAAGTCTGTAGCCCGGGGGCCTCTACAAATTACTGAGGGGGAAAAAAATAAAATAAAAAAAAAAATTACGGAGGAGTGATGATGTTAGTTTGAGGACTAAGATGAACCTGATTCAGTCACTGGTGTTTTCAATCACCTGCTGTGTATCTGAGAGCTAGATAATGAATGAAAAGGACAAAAGACCGGATGGCTTTAATCTGTGGTGCTGGAGCAAAGTACTGAAAATCCATCCATCCCATGGCCTGCCAAAAGAACAAATGTCTAGGTGAAGATGAAGCCAGAGTGCTCCTTAGAGGCACAGCTGGTGAAGCTTCGTCTCATACTTCGTGCATATTGCTAGGAGAGGATACTCCTTGGAGACGGTGGAGGGACAGTGAAGGAGAGGAAGACCCTCAACCATATGGAATGGCACAGTGACTAAAGCAACTGGCAAGTGTGTTTAGAGAGATTTTGAGGTTGGTATAAGACAGGGTTCAGATCTGTTGTTTATACTACTTGCTATGAGTTGTACTCAATATGACGGCAACTAAAAACAACTGCATCTGGCAGCTACTTTCAGTGTTTAAGATTATTGAGTTAATGACTCATATTCAAACAAATATGAAGAACAAACACAAAACAGCTACGTAGAGTTGATTCTGACTCATAACAACCTATACTCTGTATTCCAGAGTACAACTGCTCCTGATAGGTTTGAATCATTAAGTTTTAGGTTGTTAAGTGGCTACTGTTAGATGCTGTCAAGTCATTATGATTTACAGTGACCGTATGAACAGATCTCAAATCTTTGTCCTCCGATTGTCACAATCTCTGCCATGGTTGAACCCATTGCTGCAGTCACTATCAATCAATTTCATGGAGGGTTGTATTCTTTATGAGCCCATTTAGTTTCAGGATAGGGTAAGGTTTTGATCTATTGTCTGACAATAATTAAAAGCTCTGGAATTCTTTCAAAGTTATCTATAATTTGTTATGGTCCATACAATCAAATAAATGCCTCTGCATAGTTAAAAACTTCCAAGTAAAAACATCTTTCTTTTATAACAATGGTTATCTCTTGCTCCTCAACCTCTTTGGAATCCTGTCTGACTTTCTAGAGGTTCCCTGCTGTATTACTCCAGCCATTTAAAAAATAATTTTCAGCAAGATTTTATTTGCATGTGTTATCAATGACATTGAATGATCCATTTCCATACTGCTGAATCAGCCTTTAAAAATTGTCAAAAGGGAGGGAGCTCTTTCAGCTGGTTGGCCAAGTAGCATTCTTCCAAATTTCTTGGCATAGCAATATATTTATTTGCTAACGGATATTCTTGAATCTTTAATTTTACCAATACCTACGGTATCCTATGTTCTTGATCATGTGCTACTTCCTCAGATGGTTCTACACCAACCAATTCTTTTTGGCATAGTGAATCAGTGCATTTCCCCAATCTTCTTTTTTTTTAAAAATTTTATTTTATTATTTTTTGCGCATGTACCGTCAAATGAGATCTGACTGGTACAGGAGGAAATTGTCTCTCCTTCTCTGGCAGAGCATCTGGTGGAACCATATACCTTTGGGATTGCAGTACAGCTTCTTGCCACTAGGCCACAAGAGCTCCCCTCCCAATCTTCTTTTGATGCTTCCTGTTTCATTCAATCTTTTCTGCCCACAGACTCTCCTTCCTTGCTTTATAGGCTCCCAAAACCTGCTGGAGGGTCAGCTAGGAGCAGGTCTGAGTCAAAAGCGATTATCTAACTTTTACTTTCCTTATATATTATGTCCTTCCCAAACACAAATCCTTAATGTTCAATGCATCAAATCTGTAATTGAGATGGTTTTTTAAATTCAGATGGGATAAACTCAAGGTCCTATTTTGGCTCTCTGGGACTGGTTTTCATTTTCTTTGGCTTCAATGTGAACTTATTTGTAACTAATTGACCACCTGTTCCACAGGCAGCCTTTGCAATGAATTTAATCAATAGTAAAAATTTTGTCATATGATCTCTGGACTCATTTCTGTCTCTAAGGTCATATTTTCCAGTTACCAAAACTGTTTCCGACTTTTGCATTAACTATTATTATTACTATATCCTAACTGCATGTCTGACCAAATTCTTGATCTTTGGCATTAGTGACTGATGCATACATCTGAATGCTGCTGTAATAAAAGTCTTCACTGTACTTTAGGACATACTCTGAAAAGTTCCTTTTGATAATAAATGTGACATAATTTCTCTTCAATTTGACATTCCCACCAGAGTAGATAGTAGATGGTATGATTTTTATTTTTTTTTTAAATTCTTTGTGCATGTACCGTCAAATCAGATCTGACTGGTACAGGAGGAAATTGTCCCTCCTTCTCCGGCAGAGCAGCTGGTGGATTCGAACTGTGTACCTTTTGGATTGCAGTACAGCTTCTTGCCACTAGGCCACCAGAGCTCAAAATGGTATGATTTCATGATACAAAATGCCTAAGCACTGCTCATTAATGGCTAGAATGTTGATCTTTATGCATCCCTTTTTTTTTAAACTTACCATTTTCCTAGATTTGTGGTTTTGTATATGGCATGATCCAATTATTAATGTATGTTTAAAACTGCTTCTCTTTTGAGTCTTACCACATCAGAAAGGTCCTTTATTGAAAGTTTTCCTCCATCCCTAGTAACACTGTGTGTCCTTCAACCTGAGGTACTCAACTTCCTGCATCAGACAATCATTCATAGGCCTTTTGAGGGCATGTTTTTCAGAAGTAGATGGTCAGTCTTGTTTCTTAAGTCTGTAAACTCTGCTGAAACCTACCCATTGTGGGTGACTCTGCTGGTATGTGAAATAAGTTTCATAGCTCTCAGCTTCAGAACTACACGCAAACCACAAAAGCACAGCAAAGTGACATATACATAGTTGAGTTTTAGATGTGTACCCCAAAAACAATTCTACTGCTGTCAGGTCAGTTCTGATTGGGTTTCAAAACTGTTCAATCTTTTCTAGAGGAGATGGTCGATCTTTTCCCTACAGGGTAACTAGTGGATTCCAACTGGGTTTCAAAATTTTAAAATCTTTTCTAGAGGAGATGGTCCATCTTCCTCCTACAGTGTAACTAGCAGATTCCCACTGCCAACATTCCTGTTAGCGGCCAGACCCAGAGGCACAATATGACTGGTTAATAGCTGAGTAAAACCATTTGTGCCACCTAGACTACACGCTGTTGTTTAGTGCCATCAAGACAGAATAAACTCAGAGCTGACCCTCCAGGGGTTTTCAGAGGCAGTAAAATGCACAAGAGGAGACTATCTTTTACCTGCAGAGCAGTTGGTGGATTCAAACCATATGCCTTTGGGTTGCAGTGTAGCTCCTTACCCCTAGGCCACCAGAGCTCCCTTGTAGAGCCCACACAAGGAGTTAAAAAACAACAACTGGTAGCAGTAGTGATGGTGATATGTCATTTTCTAGCTCCACTGTGTTAAAAATTGATGTCATTCAGCACAGGTAACAATATCTCTTGATGCATTATGCATTGTGATTACAGAAATAAACAGTGATATCTAAATAGTAATATGACAGACAGAATAGACAAGAAATAGGAAAAGGTGGATTTGAGCCCTGAATATATCATGGACTGCTAGAACAGGTTTGTCCTGGAGAAAGTGACGCCAGAATGCTCCTTGGAGTCAAGGATTCTGAAGCTTCGTCTGACATACTATGGGCATGTTGCAAGGAGGGATTGGTCCTTGGAGAGGGACATCATGTTTAGCAGAGTGTAGGGGCGGTGAAGGAGAGGAAGACCTTTGATGAGATGGATCGATTCTGTGACTGGAGTGGTGGGAATGAGTGTATTTGGGATGGCTAGGTTGGCACAGGATAGAACAGCATTTAGAGCTCTTTTACATAGGGTCACTATGAGTCGCAAGCAACTTGATGGCATATAACAACAACAACTCTGCCCCAAGAATATGATTGGGATTCATTCTTAAACATGTTTAAGAATTTCTAAGTCAAAACAGGTACATTCAGTTCTCATTTAGCCTTACACTACTACTAGGATTTTAAAAGCCACAGGTGCACCAAAAAGGTAATTATGATGGAGACGTTATTGCCAGTAGGAGTTTGACCCAGTCATTTCAAAGTGATAGCAAATTAACATTAAAGGGCATTCAACATTTCCCTTCAGAACAGGTCCCAGGCAAGCAATCACTCTCGCTCCCTTCAAATCAAATAAGCTGACGCTATCCAAATTTCCCAGGCTTAAGAACTATCTCAGATTTATATGTACTCTACAAAAATATACTTTTAGCCCATATCTCTAGCATTTTTTACCTTTGTTTCCTTCGTAGTAATAGTGATAGGATTTCTATTCCTAATGCATGCATATCTGGGCATTACATATTGAAAATTTAACATTCAATTATTTATACAAGCAGATCCTAAAAATGTTTTAAAAAACCTAATGATTGTTTTAATACTTTCATCTAACTTGCGAAGGTTGTTTTTTTTTTCTTTTAAACTTAGTAATATTTTACTCAATTAACAAAGCCCTAGAAAGCAAGTAAACAGGATTTCTACTACCACTAGGAACTAAGGAAGTAGTGACTGCTTTTCAAAAAAATCTAGCATATACATCCAATTTTAGTTCCTATACAACACCACACATTCTATAGTATCTTTTGACATCTTACAGAACTTGGCCTATTAAGATAAATTAAGTCCAAAAGACGAACAAAATAAGAGTATTAGGTACTCAATAATAAACAGCAAAAGAGAAGACAAATATGCTTCAGAAAGGGTAGCTGAAAGCATGTATTAAAGAAGTCTTCCAGGAAGAGTACTTACACATATGACAGAAAATAAGAAGATGATACTAAGAATTTTGTTTCAAGCCTTCCTAGAAAACAACGGAGGAAGTATCTCTGACCTTCAGCCCTATGTATGGAAAGGGTAAATATATAAGAACCTGGAAGAAAGCTTTGAAGTGAGCATCCTCTTGAACGGTAGTGTTCTGATCACTTGGGAGGAGAGGGAACAGGCTCTGAAGTCTCACCCTTTCACAAATCACCTTGTTAGGATGGCCAGGAAGAGGTGCTGAATTGGCCCCGGGAGAAATCTGGGAAAAAGAGGGAGAAGAAAAGGATAGTTCATGGCTAGCCGCACCAAAGTGGAGAATCATGACTGTGAAGAATAGTCTGGCTTTCCTAGGTATGTGATGATTGTTAGCTGAGACTGAAAATTTTAAAAATTAATTTTAAACATATAAACAAAGAGAGGCAAAGGTTGCCTCTGGCAATGGATCATCCATCAAAAAAAATTCTTTAAAAAGTCAAAACAGCACTGCTTAAGAACACAAGAGCTTTCTGTTTTCCAGGTAATACCTACTGGTATTTTTTTGGTTGTTGTTGTTGTTGTTGTTGTTGTTGTTGTTATTAACTGTGAAATCCTAAAGAACAGATTTCATGTTACAAAAATGCCAAAGGACATCATATATCTTAAGTACAGAAAAATTAGTATCTGCCTGGACTAAGATTGAAAATTTTTAAGAAACTTTTTAACTTCCTAAATAATCATGCAAAGAAAGATGACAGATTTTAGAACACTGGCAAATTTCTCTATTAATCACAAATACAAAACATAAGAGTTTTACAGCGGAGATAGGAGCTTTCATTAAAAACAAAACAAAACAAAACCAAAAACTAACACCCCAAAACAAATCCAACCAACCTAGTCACTTTCCCAAGGAATGAAGAACAAGATCATAAATCCCAAAGAAATGACTGCATCCACTTATTGCTCGATTGTAGGTTAATTCCTTTAAAATCACATGTAAAACTCCTTTGTAAATGTACATACTCTGTAGATTTTTAATGATTTAGGTATAACCACTAAAAACACCTAATGCACTGCTATTTGATGATAAATTTCCATTCGAAGTTAGAGCTGGTAAACTTGCTTGTCCCTACATTGAATATTCCAGATTATGTTATTTTAAATGTCCTCCATCAAAATTTCGATGCCTTAGTCCCACATTTACGTGCCTATTTTGTAACAGTTTAACACTATGGTGGCCTGATGCAAGCCATGGTCTTTTCAAGCTTCCCATGTACCTGAAAGTTGGACAATAAATAAGGATGACAAAAGAAGAATCAGTGTCTTTAAACTGCAGTGTTAGAAAGAGTAATGATTATTTCATGGCTTGCCAAGAGAATAAACAAGTCTATCTTGGGGGAAATGTAACCTGCTGGCTCATTAGCAGCAAGGATGGTTAAACTTTGTCTCACATACTTTGGGAATGTTGTCAGGAGTGGGTAGTCCTTGGAAAAAGACATCATGCTGAGAAATACGGAGGTTCAGCAAAAAAGGAAGATCCTCAAGAAGGACTGACACAGTGACTGCAACAATGGACTTGAGCATGACAGAGATCATAACAGGGCAAGGTTCAGATATGCTGTTCATGGAGCTGCTACAAGTAGATGACTGGACAGCACCTAACAACATTCTCTAACACGCTCTCAACAAAACGCATGTTCTTCTACCTTTATGTATATACTACAAAATAAAAAGTAAGTCAAGGTATATAAATATATGAGTATTTAGGTAAAGACAAAGACATTGGGTATATGGAGAAATCAATAGGAAGAGAGCAGTGTATTGAGGAAATTGCAGAAATGTTCAATATAATTGAACAGTAAAGAAATACCCAGATGAACAATGACCCTATTGTTTAGGTTCCCATTCTTATTATGATACATCCCTTAACTCCTTTAAAACATTTTTTTTTCTTTTCCTTTAATGTTTTGCCAAAAGCCCAACAAAGAGGTGAGTATAAACAGAAAGTATAAATACTTCTAAGGATATACCTTTAAAGACACCTAAGGATTAGTACATTATAACTTATTCAAACTAACTCAGTCTCATAAGGATAAACACAGCATAGGACCATTATTTTAAAAACAGATAGATTACTAATGTGTATAGGGATCCAAGGGGGGGAGAGGAGTGGGAGCAGAGAGGTGAGGGTAGGGAAGGAATAGCTACCTAAGGGACAGTGAAGGGTCACACAATTTGGTGGGTGGAATAAAGGAAATGGGAAAGATCTGGCAGGTAATGGTGGGCACAGTTCAATGGTCATTGATTTGATAAAATATAATTAATGTAAATTTAACAAAAAATAATTTGCTGTAACAACATTTTGGATCAGAGCTTACTTCTCTTTGTACTACAAACAGCAATGTGTTAACAGTCCTTCCCAATGAAGTATACTTTGCTGATTTCCCCCACAAACAGTGTTCTATTATGAAGGGAGATAAAAGATGTCTGCTGGTCTCAAGAAGCCTATCATAGTAAAAGAGACTCAAAGTAGCCAATTTTATGTGCTCTGAACGTCATGATACAGGCAAAAAATTAGAAGTAGGAGCCTTAAGGTTTTTCTAAGGGTTTAAAGATTTCACAAGAAAAGGCCTATTTCCTGAGGGCTCACTCACCTAAGAAATCTTCCCTTCCTTTAATGTGGTCTGTTCCTCTGAAAGATTTAATCCTCTTTTGCAATCCTTTTGTACTTCTGACACACTCTAGTAGGGTAGTATATACTGTGTTGCACTGCATCTCTGGCAGTTCGAATGTAACCAGGCTGATAGGAGAAAAATTGGCAGCCTTCTTAATCTAAGGCATGCAACTCTTGAAATTCAAATGATCAGTTTGAGTTAGGACTGACTTGATGGCACTCTGTTTGCGTATTATTAAGTACCTTTGTTGAATGTTTTAATAAGATCATCAGCCCCCCACAAAACCCAAAATATAACAGAGTAGCACTTTTAGGAATCACTGAGAACAAATAGCTGTCTAAGGGACAGTGAAGGTTTCCTAGCTGTGGTCTTTATTTTTTAAAAACATGTATTTCAGCATACACAAGTAAAAGGAAGTGATAGTGTGTACTTTTTGGTGAGCTGGACTGCTAACTCAAAGGTGCTGTGCCTCTCTGGTGATTCAAATCCATCAGCCACTCCACGGAAGACAGATGGGCAATCAAAATCTCCCACACAATTTACCACCTCAGAAATCCAATGGAGGGTCAGCCATGTTGGTTCCAACTTGACAGCAATAAGTTAAAAACTATCAACTCTGGCCCCTGGAACCAGGTAATTTACAAACAGTATCTTTCCCTACTCTCAATCCCTTTGGTCATAAATTCTATCTGTCTGAAAAAGGGAGAACAATGAGGCAAAGCTATAGTCAAGCCTTGTAACTAACGCATATCTGAAACAAAATGATCAAATGCACTTGATCAAAACAAGGTGTCCTTAACTTAATTACCACTGGCTAAAACAAAACCATGCACTGTGTGTGTATGTATGGAGGAGGCAGAATTCTAAAGTAATCTCAAGAGTCCTGCACACTGGTGTACATTCCTCTATCATTCCCTTCCCGTGAGTACAGGTCAGATAATAAAAATCTATTTCATTCTCATGATTTGGTTAAATTACAACAAAGGTGTAGGGCATTTATAAATGTAATTTATTCCAAATCAGTTGAATTAATCGACATGAGAGATAAGTTTGGGCAGGCCTAACTGAAGTCAGAGAAAGTTCTTAAAAGAGGGACTGAGTCATTTCTGTGATCCTTCTGTCAACCCTTGAAACAAATTATTATGTGCTGAGAAAGTATATTATAGGGGCTAATTGGCAAGGGGACCTGAGTGCAAGAATCTTATGTTATTGGCAAATAAAAAATGAACTTGGAAGACAACTTTGTCTCATAAGAAACCCTAGCTTCAGCTAAGTAAGATCCTGAACTGAAGACTAAGTAGCTAAACTGTGCTAGAACTTCTAAAATCATGAAATCTGTTCGGTAATAGATTTGGTGTTTTAAGCTATCAAATATGTGGTAGTATATTAGACAACAATTTTTTTAAAAAGCATATAATTTAACAGACTAAAAATGCCAACAAATTAAGTTTCTTTTCTAGAATTCTGGTTGTCTTAATTAGACTGTAAAAGAAACAAATTATGATCTTTTAATCACCATAACAGTTTATTCCTATTCTTGAGTTAAGGCATCAACAACAATCTGAGCCCAAGTCCTTCTGGGAGTAGAATCACCACTGATAAAACTCACAGGCCCCTTAACTGCAGTACCACATTACTAAGGAAGTGAGAAGGGAGACAAGAACAAAGGCTAGGAAAGAAAGGCATTAACATGTTTATACAAAATTTCCCCTTCTTTTCCACAATCCTGAACTGAAGCACAAGGATTTCTTACCCCTCAAATAGTTATTTCTAATCTCTTAAACTGGTACCTCACCTTCTCAATAAAACTTTTCAGTATCTACTCTTCAAGATTTGATTTGTAAGAACTGTATGGATTTTGATGATACCTAGACAACGATAAAATCAATACAAAAAACAAAACTGTGTGCACATATAAAAAATTGTGGAAAAGGGGCTATAAGCGCACTTTCTGGTTTACTTACATTTGTTGCATGTCTACCACATACACTAGGTGCTATGAATACAACGGGAAAATAACAGTTCTTGCTCTTAAAGACATTCAGCCTAGAAAGGTAAAATTAGAAGAGTTCTTGTAGCCTCGTGGATAAGGAACTACTCTACCAATCCAAAGGCACTCACAATTTGAGTCTACCACTTGTTCTACACAACAAAAGATAGGCAATCTCCTTTTGTGTGATTTACAGCCACTGAAAACTGGCTGGATCATCAACAGAGTTGACTCAATGGCACATAATAACAACAAAAAAAATTATTTCTGACTCTGCATTCAGGGGGATGCCATAAATTGGAATCAACCTGAGAGCACCAGGAACCCATGAAGTGGGAAGAATGGTATCTTGGTCCTTTTAACTTGAAAAATACCAACAGTTGGGGGGAAAAGGAAACCTGTAAATGATGTTTCTATTTCATCTGTTTACTTCAAATTTCTGTTAATGTATAATACAGATTTCAAGCATTGCTCCCCCCTCCCCCATACAATGTCATGGGAATACTTAATATTTGCTGATGAGGAAATTCTCCGAAGTCTCTAAATGTGTGCACTCTTTGGTGGCCTAGTGATAAAGAGCTACAGTATCATTTTATACGCTGCTCCTAACCAGACAGG